TTAATCAGTTTTTAAGTGCCTTAAAAATTTTATACTTAAAATGTTTAAATAATTCAAAATTCTCATAAATAATGTTCATCCTCTTATTCTACATCAAATTGGCATATAACTTAATTAATTAAAATTTTCATTAATATTTTGAAATTAAATCTTATTGGTATCAAATTTTTATTGTTAAAAATATTGTCATTAATAAATAAAATATTAAAAAATATCTGAAGTAATTAATAGAATTATGATATTTATATAATTAAGTTTTGATGAATAAACACACATTAAAATACAAAACAAATCAATGATTGATAATTAATCCTAAATAATAATAATAAGAAGTTATATTATTACTATTAAATAAATAAATAAATATCCTAGATTAAATAATATACAAATTATCATCGAGATTAATATAAATCCTGTAATAAGTTAATTGATAAACAATAAACAATATAATTTGTGAACATAGATAAATAAGTTGGGTTGTGCAAGCTTTATTATTTTGACCTCCTAGTTTTTAAAAAAGCATTCAAACTTACTTATTTACTAGCTTTACTGAATTTAAACAAGTTTTAATCAAGTCGAATTTGAGTTATTCATTTAGTACATTATTCATTTAAAAACCCTAACGATAACAAGCATCATAAGTAGTGGTGATAGTGGGTCAGAAGGCTTGTGAAATGTTCGCTCAGCTAGGGTTTTACCCCTTTTTTGGCGATCTCTGCTGCCGGATTTGTCTCAGGGAAGTCTTTCTTCTTTAATTTTTGCATGTTTCATTTTTCCTTTTTCGGTTTTAATTAATGGCATCTACCCATCTTCGTAACCCGGGATTTTTGAATGGAGCTTCTCCGGCTCTTTCATTTAAAGAGGCCTTGTCTGGGGCTTCTTCTTCTTCTTCTTCAGTTCCTTTTCCTGATTTGCAAATTTCTTCTCATCGGGGTTTACCGGCATTGTTGATTTCGGAGGAGGAAATTTCCTCGCTTGCTGTTCCGTTTGAATTTGCTTTGGTCTGTAGGTTTCCTAGCAAGCGGCCATCCATTGATGTCATTCGGAAGTTTTTCTTCAACTTAAAACTCATTGGTGACTGTTTGGTCACTGTTCTTAATCCTAGAAATATTTTGATTAAGTTTGTCAATGATTTTGATTACTATAGAATCTTCTCTCACTGATCTTATTTTGTGAATATTTATTATATGAAAGTGGTTAAATGGTCCCCAAATTTGGATGTTGAGGTTGATTCCCTGATTTTCCCCATATGGGTTTTGTTTCCCTATCTTATGCCCCATCTCGTCCACCTCGGATCCTCTTTGGGTTGGGTTCTCTATTCGGCCGAACTGTGAAATTGGACACCGCCATTGCTTCAGGTTCTCGTCCTTTGGTTGCTCGCATCCTTGTTGAATTCGATGTGACCAAAACATTTCCTGATAAAATTTCGGTGGGTTCGCCTAATTTTGATTATATTCAATCAGTGATTTTTGATGATATTCATCACTTTTGTATGCTTTGTAGCTCTTTAGGCCATTTGAAAGAGGATTATCATATTTTACATCCTCATCTTAATACTTCTACTAAACCCACTCATTGCTCTTCTTTCTGCTCTGTGTGCACTGCCTGGGGTGAATTTGGTTAATGCGGGTCCTGTTTTGCCTGTGCCGGAGGTTGGAGTTAATGCTCAGGTGAATGCTGATTTTGTTATTAACATAGCAAATGTGGAGTATGTGGAAACTTTAGATAGTGTCCTGTACGAATGCATAGTGTCCCTGTATGAACACAGTGTCCCTTATGAATTGCTCGTACGAATACATAGTGTCCCCATACGAACACGTAGTGTGTCGTACGAATCGCTCGTATGAATGCATAGAGTCCCGTACGAACCAAGTTCGTCCAGGATGAATAGTATGAAAATTTTCAAATTTCGTTTATACGAAATGTTAGGATGAAATGAGTGAGATCAGACCCGAGACGTTCGTCCTTATACGAAACTGGGATCGTCCCTACGATCCATATTTAGAAAAAAAATTTCGTGCGAGAACAGACCCGAGACGTTCGTCCTTAAACGAAACTGGATCGTCCTGTACGATCCATACTTTACCTTCGTCCAACTTCTCGTATGAGTTTATAACTGAACAAATCGTCCCGTACGAAATGAATTTGTATATTACAATCAATTTAAAATTTTTGCAAATTTTAAACACTCCCCTAGTGTGTGTGTGCACAATTACTTAATTACAATTACATTCTCTTAAACTCAATAAAATAAAAAATACATACTCCATTTATAATGAACTCTAATCTATGTTTATTTGAAGTCTTCAACAAACAGAAGTATGATTTTCCTGAAATGTTAGTATACACACAAAATAAGTATAAAATGAAAAATACTATAAAATATAAAGATGTGAGTCATTATGTTTGTTATCATAAAAAATATAAATTCGTGAGCAATGAGTCGCAACAGAATTATCATATCATATATCTGATACCATTCAATATTTCATTAAAAATACAATAAAATCAAATCAAATCTTTTAGAATGATCAAATCTATAACATATCCAAAATTACAAGGTGAAAACTTATGAAATTAGGAGATAATGCATTTTTGGTAGATTTAGTAGAGATAAAATTCGAAAAAATCAAAATCATCAAAAATAAAAGTAAGAAAATATAGTTAGTTATAACTAATAGAATAAAATATATAACAAGAATAACTGACAAATATGATCCAAAAATCCTTCTCTCTCCTCTCTCTTCTTCTCTCTTTCAATTTCTTCCTGGTCAAGCAACTAAGTGAGAGAGTTGGTGGGTATGGCTGGGATATTTATAAATATATTTATTATTTATGGCCTAATTTCACAATGCTTACCAGATCAGCACCAAAGCGCTCTTCTTAAGAATTTTCATATTTTTCAAATAAATGCATTTCACATATTTGAGTTATTACAATGATAGACATTGATGATGAACATAACGTGGCAATAGACAAAACTCTTGATTCTATCTAGTAGAATCCTTCTTCGGCCTCCGTTTGGCCTCCTTAAATGCGTAAGAAATGATCTATTTAGATTTTTCTTGATGTGTCAATTAGATTATTTTGACTAGAAACATATTTTTTTATCAGATGATTAATTCTAATTTACCTCGATCATACAATATCATGGTGGCTTATTAAATTCTTCCAATGGAATCACAAATTGTGATTATAAAAATGAAAGATTCAAAGGATCTATGATCTCTCAAATGGTCTCATGTTGTTTTCAACTATGTTTAATTGCTTTATTTTTATTCCATCGAAGATAAATATAGACATTCTTATTATTATTAGATTCTTCTCATTAGGATGCTTATTTGAGCTATAATTTACATGAAAAATAATTCCAAATGATGGTTAAGTTTATTGTTAATATTTTCAATTTAAATATTTGGAACATTCTGAGATGTTAGAATTACATCAAAATTTATTTAGAATCAGATTAATTTTCTACTTACATATTAAAAACAAACAAAATTTGGCATCAAATTAAAGGGATTTGATTTTGGATTTTAAGTACAATTAATGAGTAGTATTGGATTAACCTAAAATTTTTAGGTCATAATAGCCTAATTAAAATTTGCCCACTTTGGGTTTTATTACTTCAAAATTAGATTTTTGATATAAAATATAATATTTTATGAATCACATTTACTACCTTCATCACATAATAAATTTGATAACTATTAAATCATCTTCATCAATAAGGATGAGGACACAGATTTTCATATAAAATCATTCTACGCAGCCTAAAATCACAATAAAATCACATATAATATGCTTTGGGTGATTTTGAACTAATTTTAATTGGCTCAATATTATGAGAAATTATTTTGTGCGGATGCAGAACATAATTTATCATTCAGAGACAAACCAGGTTGCGCCACGTCAACAATACCGAGTATTGCGCCGAGTGCCGTACCAAGCCACAATACCGAGCGCAGGTGACGTGACACATTTTAATTGATCTCTGAACCGCACATAATAATTTGCCCAATATCGGACCGTTAAACCGTCCTGCACGTAGCTATTGAATTAACAGATTCCTTCACAAGAACAGACATGGGAAGCCGCGCTCCCGGTGGCAGTCGGCGGCGTGATGAGCTCCGGTGGAATGAATAGGAATCCCAGCGGTGAACCCTCGTAAATTGCTTGCAGATGCACCGTCGAATCGCACCCGTTTTTGTATCCGCAATTCCTCCCACGCGGCCCCTCCTCCGCTCGCGCCATTAGCATCTTCATATTTATTACGTCATAAAAGCACACTGTCCCCGAATTTAATTACACAGCTATCATTTTCCCTAATTGGCCCCTGCGCGGTCCGCCCCAGTGAACCAACCCGCCAAGGAGACGTCCAATCCCGATCAGACGGTTATAAATCGTCAAAAATTGTCCGTATCCGTATTTTGTCAATACAAAATTTTGTCGGGGTAGCTATTTTTCTGCTATAACATCACCGATTTGCTGTCTTTTCAAGTAGAAGAGAAGAGGTCGCCGGAGAATAGTGACACAGCAGCGGCGACCGGTTGCCGGACCTGGTCAGAAAACTGACTTGATTAAGTCTCGAGCAATTTTCAGAAGAAAAGGCGTCAGTTTTGACCTGGTTAGAGAAAACTTCTGCTTGAGTCATTGGAAGTCAGCTTTCTCCACCACTTTCTTTGACTTTTTTTTTCTCCTTCGATCTTCTTCCGCATTGCTTCAGCGACGCCTTTCGAGGAGGGCATTGCCCCACTCTGATCTCTCCTGTGTCTTTTTCCGATTGTAATTGGAGAGATTATTATCATTTGAAGGCCTTATTATTACTCTATCACAGCGATATATAATAATAATACATAAATAATTAGTGATATGACACGTCTTAATTGCTCTGTAATTGAGGGTTAGAACTGAGTAGGAAATAAAACAAAGGAAAAAGAAGGTAGTGCGGTAATAGAGGCGTAGGTGGGGTTATAAAAAATTGGGCTTTTTTAATGGTTTGAGAGAAGAAAAGTGAAGGGTCAACCAGCCCACCTTGGCCTTAGCTACTGGTTTACGCTGCTCCTCGCTTTGAGGATATGGTTCACATATAATTTTGGAGGGCTCGGGCACTTCACATGTGCTTTTGTTTTTCTCTTTTCTTTTTCCTCTTAGAGGTGCGGGAACTTCACTATTTGTGTTTCCATTTTCATTTCTTCTTGGTGACAGTTCGAGTAGAATGGAAGCCGGAGGCGACGTGTAGAGGAGCTTTTTCAATTTGCAAGTGCCCTGTTTTCTGTTTATTGTAGGCGGCCGGAGTGGGTTGAAAAAAGGGGTTCTGTGAAGGCGAAGTAGGCGGAGAGGGAGAGGGAGAGGGGGAGAGACGGAGGCACTAGCGTTCTGCTTGGCTTCTTTCTCTTTCTTTCTGCCCTGTAAACAGCGTGTGAGAAGGAGCTGTGGGCATTGGTTCATAACCTATTTTTAATGCTTTTGCCTCATCTCGCTTCTCCATTTTCTCCCTAGTTTCAAATCACTACTCCTTTTCCTTTAATACATCTTTTGTATCTATATCATCGTTCTCTTTTCTGCGAATTTGTTAAATTTAGTGAAGGTTAGTAAATGAGCTGAGGAGTTCTTAGATCTGAGTAGTTAGAGCACAGGAAAAAAGATTAGATTTTGCAAAGAATAGAAGGCTAAAAATGAGTTTTGGTGGCTTGTTCGACGGCGACTCAGGTGGTGGCAGGCTGGTTTCCGATTTGCCGTATGGAAGTTCCGCCATGGTTTCTCAGCCCCGCCTCGTCTCAAATTCTGGTGTTCCTAAGCCTATGTTTGGCTCAACCGGCCTCTCCCTCGGTCTTGTGAGCAATCACTTATGCCGTTACAGTTTTTTAATTTCCTTCAGTTCAGAAACTTTCTCTTTTAAATTTCCTTTTACTAATTTCTTGTGGGTTTCCTTCAAAGCAATCTAATCTGGAGGGTCAGGGAGACTTTAGCCGGCTCGCCTCCGTCAGCGGGGGAGGAGTAGGAAGTGTTGGTGAGCTTGACGTTCTCTGCCGGAACAAAGAAGATGAAAACGAGAGTAGGTCAGGAAGCGACAACTTGGAAGGAGGATCCGGCGACGATATGGATGAGAACCCTCGCAAGAAGAAGCGTTACCATCGTCACACTCCGAATCAAATTCAAGAGCTGGAAGCGTAAGAGATTTATCCTTAATTGCTTGTGATTTATTTTTATTTCTTCGCCTAAACCGATGAAGGCGTTTATCTCTCGCAGTCTCTTCAAGGAGTGCCCTCACCCAGATGAGAAGCAACGATTGGAACTGAGCAAGCGGCTCGGTCTGGAGACTCGCCAGGTCAAATTCTGGTTTCAAAATCGCCGAACTCAAATGAAGGTATCCGCCCGAAAAAAAAAAAAAAAAATCTCTTTTTTAATGTTATCGTGTTTCTGAAATTTTCTACAAAATCTGGGAAAAACTGAAGACTCAAATGGAGCGCCATGAGAACACAATCTTAAGGCAGGAAAACGATAAGTTGAGAGCTGAAAGCATAACAATCAGGGATGCTATTAGGAATCCTATCTGCGGGACCTGTGGCGGGCCGGCGGTCCTCGGTGAAGTCTCACTTGAAGAGCAGCACCTGAGAATTGAGAATGCAAGGCTAAAAGATGAGCTCGATCGTGTCTGCACTCTCGCCGGTAAATTTATTGGGCGGCCTATCTCTTCTCTAGTGAATTCGATCTCAACTCCAGTGCCAAACTCATCTCTCGAGCTTGCCGTTGGAGGCAATGGCTACGGTGCTTTCGGATCGGTTCCTCCCACCTTTTCATCTGTGTCGGATTTCGTTGCTGGAGCATCAAGCCCATTAGGGACGGTCATTACTCCTCCCGCGAGGACCTCGATACCTTCTGTTGATAGGTCAATGGAGAGATCTATGTTCTTAGAGTTGGCTTTGTCTGCCATGGATGAGCTTCTGAAGATGGCTGAGATGGGGGAGCCACTATGGATTCCTGCCCAAGAAAATGGTAAAGAGGCTTTGAACTATGAACATTATGAGCATTTGTTCCCTCGCTGTATTGGTATGAAGGAGGTTGGTTTGGTTTCGGAGGCCACGAGGGAGACCGCCATGGTTATCATCAACAGCCTTGTGCTTGTTGAAACTCTCATGGATGCGGTATGTGATTAGGTTTTTGGTTCCATTCATCAAGTTCGCTTTTTTTTTTATTTAAGAAGTAGAAGATTAAAGCACTAATCACACTGGTTTTCTAATCCACCAATCCTGCACTCCCCAATCCTTGAACTCAAATACTTCTGATGCTGAGATGACCGTTAACCAATCGATCTACATTAACTAAATACTGAATAATAGAAGTTCTCTTCTGGATTAATAAATACTCGATGATGAGATCATATGTTAAAATTTGATTTTTTTATTTAAATGCAAAATGTTTTTATCGAATTATGTTTACAAATATTTTCTAATATAATAAATATTTAAATGATAACAATATATTCATGTAATTTAGGAAGAACTCTTAACGTTTAGAAGTACTGCAATTTTTTTACTCCCTCTTTTGTATTTCCTATCCTTTTTATGATCTAATTGATATAATAACTAAAAAACATATATATTTAAAAATAAACATGTTTATTATGGCCTAAATTACTTAATTATTTTTTTAAATATAATCGTAAAGCTTTGTTATATAATAAGATAATAATTTTATGGTTCATATTTTCCCAATGAAGTACAAGTATTTAACACTATATGTTGTTTAAAGTATTACTGTTTTCCTTACTTTCAAATGTCACCGTTAGGTCCGTTGGGCGGAAATGTTCCCTGGCATGATTGCAAGAACAATCACAACTGACATAATCTCTACTGGAGTAGGCGGTTCAAGAAACGGAGCACTTCAACTAGTAAGCATTTCCTGTAATCTAATTCATGATCATAGATGTTTACTACTGAACTAATTATTTTTATAATTCATAGATGCACGCTGAGCAACAGGTTCTCTCTCCCCTCGTTCCAATCCGGGAAGTAAACTTCCTCAGATTCTGCAAGCAGCTCGCCGATGGTGCTTGGGCGGTCGTCGATGTCTCCATTGATGACCTCCGAGATACTCACAGTTCGGCCACTGGCATTAGCGCTAAATGCCGCAGGCTTCCTTCTGGCTGCGTTGTGCAAGACATGCCCAATGGTTACTTAAAGGTACAGTTGACTTGTAAATATTATATGGATTCATGAGAGACTGTAAGTCAAGGCTGACTACAATATCTTAGTCTTTTACCAAAGCGTTTTGCTGTGTATTATTAATTATTAAACTTGTTTATAAGAACCTTAACTAAAGCCTGAAACCGAGGCTGCGCCTTTGCATTCGGGTTCGCTTGTCTCTTTCTACTTTTATTTACTTTGTTAATCTTCCTCCCACTTTCCTCGTTCTCGAACTCCTGCGTAGATGCGTTTGAATAATTTGCTTCTTCTAAATGAAGAAGCTTTCTTGTTTCTATTCCATTCTTCCATGGTACTTGAACATTAGATTCCTCGCTAAAATATTAATTACTTATTATTTCCTATTCAACTTTTCAAAAGGAGTGGTACTTTTCCGGTCTCGCATCTCGAAGAGGCCCAATAGTCAAAGCTTGGCCGGATCTTGATTTCTTCAACCGTGAACCATGTGCTATGATTTGTCTTCTTGTGTCGGTAGTGTGTGCCACCGGAGACATGTTATGCTTACCGTGTTCCATAATGGTGATCTGGTTCTCGTTGTTTGTTCAGGTTACGTGGGTGGAGCACGCTGAGTACGACGAAACGGCGGCGCATCAGCTTTACCGGCCGCTGCTGCGCTCCGGCATGGCGCTTGGGGCGCAGCGATGGGTTGCCACACTGCAGCGCCAGTGCGAATGCCTTGCCATCCTTATGTCCTCCTCCGTCCCTAACCGCGACCACGCTGGTATGAACATGGTTAACAATTACTCTATTCTGTTTAGTTGATTGGTGTGTGAACATATGAAATGGCCGTGAAGCAGGGATAATGCCGGCGGGGAGACGGAGTATGCTAAAATTAGCGCAAAGAATGACAGACAACTTCTGCGCTGGGGTTTGTGCTTCGTCAGCGCGAAAGTGGAGCCACCTGGCGAACATGGGAAGTATAGGTGAGGACGTCAGGATGATGACCAGGCAGAGCATGGAGGATCCCGGCGAACCGCCCGGTGTCGTTCTCTCAGCCGCCACTTCCGTCTGGCTCCCCGTCTCCCCGCACCGCCTCTTCGACTTTCTCCGCAATGAGACCCTCCGTAGCCAGTGGGACATTCTCTCCAATGGCGGACCAATGCAAGAGATGGCTCATATTGCAAAAGGCCAGGATGAAGGCAACGCCGTCTCCTTGCTCCGCGCCAGTGTAAGCATATATACATATACGCACATCTTAATTCATAAAAACTTTGAACTTTACGCGTTCTTCGACGAATTGTGCAGGCGGTGAGCGCGAACCAGAGTAGTATGTTGATACTGCAGGAGACGTGCACGGACGCGTCGGGGTCGATGGTTGTGTACGCGCCGGTCGATGTGCCGGCGATGCATTTGGTGATGAACGGCGGGGATTCGGCGTACGTGGCGCTGCTGCCGTCTGGGTTTGCGGTGATGCCGGATGGGCCAGTGGCGGCGGGTGGGGAAGGGAAGATTGGTGGTGGGTCGTTGCTCACGGTCGCTTTTCAGATATTGGTGAATAGTCTGCCGATGGCGAAGCTGACGGTGGAGTCGGTGGAGACGGTCAACAATTTGATATCTTGTACCGTGCAGAAGATTAAGGCGGCTCTGCAGTGCGAGAACTGAAAGGAAGAATGTCAGGTGAGGGCGGGTTGAGTCAAGAACGAACCGCGCGCTTGGGGGAGAAACCTTTGCTTTGTGATGATGATGCTGCCGCCGGCCGAGAACGGGTGGCGGTTTATGAAATCCTCAGCACCGAGCAATGGTGGTGGTTCGGGTATTGACTTAACCTAATCTTTCTTTTCTGTTCTAAGGACCGTTAAGGCAGAAGAGAGCTCATTTGTCATATACTCTTTAAAACTGTTTATCTTGTTGTGCACATGATGTATGGTTATTATTGTTACATTTTCTTAATTTTGTTTTTCTCTTTGGAGGGATTTATATACATAGCATTCACTTCACATATTTGTCATTTAAATATTATATTATATATATCTAAAAATATCAAAACAAAATAAAAAATAATCTCCCATTATCATTTTATGAATAGGGTCCTTGGGCTTCGTTTGGTTATTTTTTACATTTTCTAAAAGATAATTTATTTGAGAGAATTAAATTTTTTAACGGAGAAATTAATATTAGAAACCTTTAAAAAAATTCTGTAAAAGTAGCGCATACAAAGAATATCCAAAAAAATTTATGTTGTTTTGAAATTGAAAAAGAGAAATTAAGTCATCTTAAATGAGGCCTTAATCTCACTGAAATTATTCTGTGTAGGGCTGCAAACGAACCGAGTTGAGTATGTGAGTGTTCATGTTTGTGTTCATTTAATATCAGCTTGTTCAAGTTTGGTTCATGTTTGTTCGAGCTTTATTGTTTGTTGTTCATGTTCGGTTCATTTAAATTAATGAGTGTTCATGTTCGGTTCATGTTCGTTCGTTTAGTGCTTATCGAGCTTGTTCGTGAAAATATTTAACAAATTTTTTTTAACTATCAAACAAACATGTTCATGAACATATCTATGAAAAAACATATTTATAATAAAAACAATTGTCTATGTAACAAAGGCAAAGATTATTTATATTGTTTTTAATTATATAGTCAAATATTAATTATTTTTATCGAGCCTATTCATGAGTTCAAAATCGAACACGAATCGAGCTTTTTTTCGAGCTTAATGTCGAGCTTGTTCATGAACTTCAAATGATGTTGTTCGCGAACATAAATGAGCCGAACGCATTAGTGTTCAAGTTTGTTTATTTAAGAATCGAGTATTTAAAATATTGTTCAAGTTTGTTTGTTTAGTTAATTAAACGATCATAAACGAGCTTTAATCGAACCGAACAGCGAGTAGCTCGTCGAACGTTTGGTTTGCTTGCATCCCTAATTATGTGGGAATGCGAAATGCTATTTGGAGATCATCTAGAACGCGTCATATCACTCCTTTCTCGGTATTGCTAAAGTGATGCATTTTAATTAGTTGCTAAATGATGAATTACATTAGGTGTTTACGCAAAATGATTCTCTTAATATCATTATTGTACTATCTTACAAGTCATATTATCATCCTTCTTTTAAGGGAGGAGATTAATGTTTTATTTTGGATATCTTTATTATTTTTTCTTAAAATAAAATTTTAATAAAAAAATTAAAATTTAGTTTTAAAAAATAATAAAAAAATCTTCCTAAATAAAGCCTAAGGCAGAATATTGTGGCATTTGCCATTTCTTTTTTATATCTGTGACATGCAATAATTTGATGAAGGGTATGATATATTACTGAAGGGTATATGGTGTTAAGTAATAATTAAAAATTAAAAAATAATTATTTAAATTTAAATATGTATGATTGTTATATATGGAAAGTTACTTCTCCTTATTTGATAATTTGATGATAGATTTTGTAGAGATTTTTGAACAGATATGTGTGGGAATGCAGGAGGGATGAATCTCGTACGAGATGGGATGGGTTAGGACTTTAGGAAGTATTGCATAGGGGTGGGCTTCAGGCCACGAAAGGAGAGCCATGACTTGTGAGAGCAGCGGATTGATGTAAAATCTCTGATCAGCATTAAATGCTGTGCTGCGGAGACAGCGTGGCTCATTTATTGCCTGTTGTTGTTTTCCATTGAATTTCTGATTGCATCACAGCCGTTCGCTTTTCCTTAAAACAATTCAGGTATAAATCACTTAAATTCTTTTCTTATAACTCTCTTTAAAATGAATAAATTATTTCGTGCGGATGTCGAAAATCTCTACAGATCATTTAGTATGCATTATATTTTTTTTTTTTTTTTCAGTGAAAACTGAATATTTTTAAGTTATTTTATATTTAGATGATCATAAATATATTAGATTTTTTTTTTATTTGATTTGAAATAAAATGAATGTAGTATAAAATAAAAATAAGGTAAGTGATATTGGTGGAGTGGCCAGCGTCAATGATGGTGGCGAGCAGAGGTTTGCGACGGCAGTTGCCATCATGTAGTGGTCGATTGTTGGCGAGTGGCAGCGGTGGATGACGATAATTACAATGAATTTTTGGTGTATTGAACTAGTTCGATTGGAGGATTTCTAACACAAAAAATAGATGTATTTCAAGTCGACTAAAATTTTATATTATATTTATTTTATTTCAAATTTAAGTCTAATTTTTTTAAAATTCTTGTGTTCCTACAACTAAATTGCCCTTAGTGGAAATTTGTTTAAAAACTATTTATTTTTTTTATAAAAATATTTTTAATAGCTATTCAATTTTTCCATTATTTTATTACCAAATGATATGAGCCAAAAAGATGTCATTCATGTTGAAATGATTACTAGCACATTTAAATTAAGTATTATATTTATAGATTTAAATATTGATTAATTACGTAATTACTCACATTGATACCCCAATTAACCTTAATAAAGCGCATTCCATCAACAACAATTGTTAGATTTCTTGGATTAATTTCGTAGTCTCACATCCTCTCTTTAGCTTCTCTCCCAAACGTGCTTTTATTTGGTTCGGTTGACCGGATGCAACAAACATTTGGTCCTAGGCAAAAAAACATCTATACCGAGGTGTCGGTATAGGCGTTTTTTTGCCTAGGACCGGATGTTCCTCTGCATCCGATCGGAGGACGTAATAACGGCTCCTCCGATCCCAAACACTCTCATTTCATCTTTCTCTCTCTCTTTATTGTTTCATTCATATTTTGTTTTCCTGTTTTAAATATTTTCTTAAGTTGGCCCATAATGGCAATTTCTTAGTTTGTTACTTTTAGAGATCTCATTGTGTTTAATTTAGTAATAATGTTATTTAGGCATAACTATTTTAGTTTGTTAGCTGTTTCTAAAACTTTTTTATGTTTCTCTATTTTATTAGTATAAGAAAATGATTGTAAGAAGAGATATATGAATGAATATTTTTGAGTCTTAGCAGTGTGGTCACTGTTTCTGTGTTCTAGATCTGAAGAGTTTTGTTTGTGATGCTTCTTCGGGTTTGCTCCCCACAACAAATTGATGTGAAAAGTTTTGAATGATTAACATATTTTGTGGTGATTAGCAAACTTTCTCTCTATATTTTTCATATAACATATTTGTGATGATTAGCAAATTATATTTCTCAACTAAGCCTTTTATCTAAAGTAATCTATATATCATTTCTTTCTTACTATTTTAAAGTAAGAGGTATATGTGTTTTAGGTTTCGTTTTGGACTACCTTTTAATGCTTCCTAAAATAGTTTTTTTTTTACAAAATTTTTGTACTAAAAAACAATTTTAGAAAGCAGTAAAAAAATGTCCAAAATGAAACCTTAAATTAGATTTTATTAAATGTCAAAAGAGATTATAAGATATTGAGTTCAATTATGAGATGAAATAGGAAGGTGTCATGTATAGGTTATCCTTTGAAGAGATAATTTTAAGATAAACTTAAACAGTTATGTGTTCTGCTCGTTTATGTTCATAAACAATGTCAATTAAAACTCGTGAACATGCTCGATAAGAAGCTCATTAGGAATCTTAATTATATTTTTATTTTTTATAATTTCACATAATTTTTAGTTTTATTATAATAAATTATTCTTATTATCTAAAAAATTATTTAAATTTTGATGCTATACTACTTCAATATTATGAATTTGTTTATAAACAAGAGGTATTTATTCATGTTTGTAATTTTTTTTTGTTTGAAGTGTTTATGAAAATGTTTGTTTATAAGAAAAAAATATTTTATGAGCTCGTTTATTCGTGAATAGACTCATCTGGTAGATCAAAAACACTCCTTTATATATGTTTGCGAACGGGCTCTAGGTGATTGTTTGTTAGTAGGCTTAATAATTAGGCTTGTTACTTTAAAGCTCGATAAATATTAACGAATTGAATATGAAGCAAACGAAATCCAAACATGAACATCTATTCTTTTAAACAAATCAAACTTGAAGACAAATAAAAAAGTTCAAATCGAGCTCTAACCAAGCTTGAACAAGCTAAAAATAAAATAGTTCACATACTCTGCTCGGCTCGATTCATCTGCAGCCCTACCTCCAACACATCCAAATTCCAATTTATCATCCATCTAATTTGCTTTTCTTTTTATAGTACTTAATAAATGATTATGGTGCTTAAAATAAAGTTGAAAACATGAAATACGAAGCTTGAAGACGACAATATTGCTTGTGATTCAATCAATCAAACACTTTTCTATCTTTATAAGAATCGGCTTAGCAGTTGAGCCTAACATCCTTCAATTTCTCTTGCATTTAATGTAAGCAGGCTTTGTTTGACGTATGAAATAATAATTTATTCACATTAAAAGCTAAAATTTGTCCCCTTGCTTGTATTTTGGCCACAAGCTTTCTAATTTTTTAATGTTTTTTTATACATTATAAATGCTCTGATACATTCAAAATGGAACAGCCAAAGTTGTCATCTTCACAATACGTGTTGTGACACTTCGCATAACTTTGTATTGACGGCATTCATATATGTGAAAGAGAAGAAATACAGATCCGGGCTTTGCAGTTATGGAGTCTGTAATATTCTGCCGGCTTCGATTGAATGGTATAGCTAAGCTGAGAAGAAATTTGCCAAGTTCTGGAAGCCATGACCTTTCACTTTCGTGGAGACCTACCTTCTCTCAAAAAAATCAAGATTGGGAAATTTGAAATCATCAATTCAATTATTAGGTTTTGGCATTTAAAACCTATTAAAGATTTTTTTTTTTTTTTTTTTTAGTTTTTCATTCAATTTATGACAACTTTCTTATTATTTTATTTTTTAGAATACAATCAGAATTTTTATTTGACTACGGATGTCGCGATACCGAGCGATTCTGAGGCTCGGTACCGAGCCGCGGTGCCGAGTAGTACCGAGCTGCGGTACAGTAAAAGAGTGATGTGGTGCATTTTGATTGGTCTATGAACAACATTCGGTGTCCGCACAGAATATTTTTTTCTCAAATAGACTTTTTATG